ACGGTGTGCTGCGAGAGGGTGACCTCTCTCAGCACTGTCCCCTTCTTGGACACTGCTACAGCTTTTCGATAGGTTTCCCACAAGCACACTGTTTTCAGGAGACTTCTCTGTGACACAGAGAGTGGGACTTGAGCTGGCTGCCTTTTGGAAAAGAGAAACATCTTTTTTTCTCAGGAATGTTCTGTGTTTTCTGATGACGTCATCTAAGGGTCCCCCTGTCTCTGGGCAATGTGGAAGGCTGTCTTCTTCTGGAATTGTCTTGTCCGGGACGCTAACTTGTACTTCTGAGTATCTCTCCTGAGCAGAGGAAACTGTCACTCGGTGGGGGCAGCTGTCCACAGCACTGGGCAGAGGTTTCTCTTCACCATGGTCTGTAGCTGCTGCCTTCCCCAGCTGCACACCATCTTCCGGAGTGGGACTTGCAGCAGGGTCCTCCCACACCCGTTCTCCGGAGGACACAGCTGGCTGTCCCCCGGCAGGCTGACCAACACCCTTCTTGCCTTCTCTTTCTCTGCTTTGACGCACCGGCTCGGTGTCACCTACAACTTGCTGGCATGGCTTTCTCCTGAAATACTTTCTTCCCGGAGAGTATTTTTCAGGACTCAAGGGACTTTTGGCAGGATCGAAATACTGCTCTTCTTTCTCAGCCCGCACACAGCCACAGACATTCCCCATTTGATTCACGGACACTCACGGCTCCACGAACTCACTCATTTTAAAATCCAGGGCTTCCGGGACCCGTTCCACCAAGTCCCGAGACTCTCCACTCTGACTTGTAACTCCTAGCAGGCTGCGTGACCATCCTCTTCAGCCTGAAGCCATGTTGCTTATGAGAAAACCACTTGCAAGAAATGCTGTGGCTCCCTGCCAGCTGGTCCTGTGTCTTATTAGGCACTGTGGCTCATTCCTGGCCACCAGTCCTCTCAGACAAACATGAAAGCTCACAGTCAGAGCAGACACCAGTGAACTTCCATGGCAAACCCCGAGAATTACTACAGAGACCACAGCCCTGGAGCTAACACAGTGCCTTCTGAAATGCATACAGACACTATTAACATTTTCATTAACGTCTGAAGCTAAGCAAACAGAAAGTAAATACAGCCAAGAGACTTACTAGCTAAGTGTCCTTCAAGTTCAGTCTCAAAGTGCCTTTCAAACTCAAGTTCGGGGAGCCTCCCCTGGAAATGCCAACTAATTTTAGGGCACATGCACAAATAAATGAAAAGATTACAAGTCTCTAGTGTTAAGACTAACTCAGAAAAAAGTGGTATAAAGATATGATTCAACAATTGGATGAAGGGAAGATAAATACTGAAAGCCAAAAATATCTTTAATCATGTCTAAAATCAGTCTTTTAATATGGGTTGACACAGTGTTCAAATCATAAATCTCTGATTATCTGCTCACTAGGATTGTCACATGACCAAATAACTAAGTGAAGGGATTTAAAGGTGGAACACTTAGCTAAAGGAAGTGCCCACACACTCTGACACATACATTAGGGCAGTTAAACTTTATGCTCTGCAATTGCACTTGGGTTAAATATTAAACAGCTTTATGCAGGGTCAGGGTAGAAAATTAAGAAATCAGTATGGACGCAGATACTGTGAGCTGTGCATATTCCTAACCATGAGTCACAGACAAGGTGTAAAGGAAATCAGCATGACATTGTCACAGAAGCCAAAGTCAGCTGGAAAGTCAGTAACTGCCTTTCCTGAGGTAGAAGTCTTTCACAATCAGAAAAGGACCTCAACATTTTACTGAAGAGGGGCTATCCAGTCATGGGTCAAGTCGACACACTGATGTTGCAGATGTCTGTAACATGTCTGTATTGTAAGGGTTTTCCTAATTATTTAAAAAGAAAATTAAATGTTATCTGGCGATATATCCCAGATGAAGGATAGGGGAAAAAAGTCTTGGGTTTGTTTGTTCTTGAGTTTTCAATGTCTGCAAAGACAACAGAACATGGTTTAAATGTGGAATGGCTACTGTTAGGGTGGAGAAGCAGCCGGGATTGGCACACCCTCCACCCTTCCCTCCAGCCAGGCCAAACTAAGCAACTGTCCAGGGTTAGCTCACACGCCCTGTTCCCTTCCAGAAATGGCTCAGCTTTTGCCTCTGCCTGGTAACTGGTACTTTTACAGCTTTCTTCTCTAACACTCTTCCAGGCCTGGCGCAGACTCTAAACTTTGCTTCAGACACTTCAAAGCGTATTTCCATTGCCAATGGATAGACCACCTTGATTACAGCTAACTTGAAAGAATCTTTTAACATATAGCACACCGTACCTCAGCAGGATCTCCCATACAGTGGTTTACAACAAGAGACTATCAGGAATGTAATTCCTACCTTCTGAATGGCAGACTGAAAAACAGATCCCATTTATGATGTTCAAAAGCAGTATCTTAAAAACCTACCCCTTGAAAAAATTACCTTATTCATACAATGAATAGAGAAACTAAAGGCTGTGCCACTCTGGGTGGGGGTGGTCACCGCTGTTCCCCTGGGGCACAGCCAGGAGTTCTAATCCATGAATGAGCACAGCACTAAGAAAAGCTTTATCTCATTTACATTTTACCAAAACAATCATATTCAAGCTGGCAATCCTTCTGCCTCTAATCCTGGATGTGAAGACACAAGCAGTGGGACTTCTTAACATGTCATTCTTAAAGGACCCTTAGCTTTAACGTTGATCAAATGTAGAGTCTATTTGCGCTACTTCTAATTCCCGTTTACTGATATTCCCATCTGTTATTTCCTTCTTTCTGCGTAAGTAGCTGGGGACCGTTTTCTCCAGTGTCTGGCGGCATTTCAGACTGTTGACCGTCCCTTTTCCATTCCGCAGTTTTTTTCTTCCGCAGTTTCAACCATTCATTTTCCTGTTGCCTTACACACCTCTCTGAATATTTGTGTTCTGTTTCCACAGCAAGACCTGCTCCTGCCCCACATCCTCTGAGGACAGAGCAGCAGCCACTTCTATGCTCATCTGACATCTCAGGGCTGCTCTGCTCAGCAGAAGGGAACACGGGACTGCTCACTGACCCTTCTAACCCATCTGGAATGCCTTCTGCTCACCACCACCCCAGATCTCACGCTATGTTTTCTTAGAGTTTAACCTGAGCCGCCTTCTCCACTTTCTATACCCTGTGACCAAGTTTCTTTCTTTCATTCTTTTCAAAATATCACCTCTTAGATAAAATTTTTATCCCCACCCAGCCTATATCCCTCCCCTTGAAATAATTTCAGTTTCTTGGCCTTCCCGGCCCCACTATGACCGCCTCACTTCTATCTCTTTGACTTCGGATTATCAATTTTAAAATGATTATTTTATTTATTGGAGGAGGGGAACACATGTACATAGAGGCCAGGGGACCACTTATTAAAGTCAGGCCTTTCTACCATGCAGGTTCCAGGTATCAAAGACAAGTCTTCAGATCTGTCAAGAAGAGCCTTTACCCACTAAGCCATCTCACCAGTCCATCAGGTTTCTATGTATGTATGTATGTATGTATGTATGTATGTATGTATATATGTATGTATTTAAACACATTTTCCTCCTCAAGTGTAAAGTGGCCGTCACAAGAAAGATTAAAAAACCCGAAGAATAAAATTCCATTTCCCTCTTGTGAAGTCCTTTAACTGCCCCTCAGTGATCGATCTCCACTTAAACTTCAGACACAACCTGCCTTAGCAGCTGTGCTATGAAGTAGCCAGCTTCCTCTAGTGAGGGGTCTCGAACTTTCCCATCTGGGGTCCTTGTAGTTTCAACCCTAACTTTAAAAAGCACTGGACCTAATCCACCGAGGCCTGGTACCACTGAGGCAGTCTGCATGAAAATAGTGTCTGGATCGTTTCTACTGAGATTTCATAGGATTCTGGTTATATGGCCTGCTTGTGTCCCACAAGCAAGCCATACATGCCTGGAATGCTGTGGTCTCTTAGTTCTTCCCTGGGTGGAGTCTTCTAGTAATGATGATCTTTACTGCTGTGGTGTCTTGGTTGAACTTAGTTAGTTACTGGCTTGCCCTGACTTCAGCAGCCCAGTTGACTGGACACCTTCATTCCCAGTCCTATAGACAGGCTACCTAAGACCATGTCTCCACTAACCTGGCTCGCTCCAATTCCCTATTGCTGGGTCTGTCCAGTTGCCTATCAGGCCCTGGGGCTACCTGGCCACCCTCCTGGGATTCTTCCTCTCTAGACCTTTTCCTATAGCTCAGATCCTGTTCCCAAACAAACCCCTCTATTTTTCCAGTATACTTTCATAGGTTTTACTCCCCCTTCCTCCTTTTTTTTAAAAAAAGATCGAATTTAAATCCCCACTTCCTTTCTGACGGTAAGCTGTTTGTTTCCTTCCTTCAAGATCTGACTGCCCACTACTACTGAGGGTCTTACAAAATGTTGTGAGACTATGAGCAGTTAACAAATTACAGCAAGTTACAAAGGGGAACCACCATAAACCACATTACAGAGTTCTTCTGAAATGCAATCACTGTCCTCAGATCTACGTAAGGCCCAGTTGTTCATGGTACTTTCCCTCTAATCTGGCTCTTTAGAATACACCTACTGCCATCTAGTGTCTTCCAAAGAAAATTTATTTACAATAAGGATAAAATTACTTCAAATAAGGATGTGAGTCATAAAAATCTTTAAGTGGCTAAAACAAGTAATACTGCCCAAGGAACAAAAGAAACATGTCTGCATTTAGCAAAGAGAAAGCTCTGCCTCTCAATGCTAAGATTACAACAGAAGGCCTTTAAAGGCAGATACAGAAGCTCACGGAGACCAGGAGACAAGACGCCACCCTCACAATGTTATTAGAATAACTGAGACCGGGAGACAAGATACCAGTCTCACAGGGTTATTAGAATAACTAAGGTACTGCTAAGAAATTAGCCTGAAATTCGTTTTCATCCAGAGGATGCAAAATACCATCTCACAGATCACCTGAAAACCAGCCTCAAGGCGCAGCGACAGCAATGAAGATAAAGTAGACTCACCTGAAAGTGCAGAATTATTGTCCATATTAACCCCAAAGTCAGCTTAGGATTTCCATCTGTTATGTCATCATTTCTGATATTCACTAACTTCACCTGTTTGTAGGTGAAAGAGAGAGAAACAGTGATTATTATAAACCAGGCACGGTTCTCATCACCTACAAAGGAAATGCTAAATTATCCAAAGAACACAAAGGTCACCAAATGCCTCAGCCTTCCAGTCAACGCTCTAGATGACAAACACATCTAAACACAAACTGCGTCTTGCTGGGGTTCTCTCTTCTAAAGCAAGTACCAAAAGTACCCACTTGTCGAAAATAATGACTGCACCTAGATAAATATTTATGATCTTAAAATCAGGGGACAATCTTCTTTTGAAATGGACTTATTTTATTCTTATAGGCAAGCAGAAAATGAACCAAGTTTGACAACTTGTAGATCTACTGAAGAGGATTTTTATTTTCTATCATATGTATTTCTACCATGCGTTACTTAAATCACTGAGCCTCCAGAAGCTGAGCAAACATCAAAGATCTGTGCAACCCTCAGAACCGAAGCTTATCAACTGTTGAGCTCCGATGCTCAGTAAGTGACCTCACACATTCTCTTCTACAAAAGAACCAAGAACCTGAGGTGACATGTTATTAACCAAGATGTATATGTTATTATGTTGGACACTTTTGTTCCTTATTTCAAGGAGCATGATGGAGCAAGGGAGACATTTTGCCACCCCTGTCCCTTGTCATATGAGAATACAGGCCACCCTTGCCAGATGCTGAGGGTTACTGTCTTGATCTCTAATTCTCAGTGTCTAGAACCACAGGTGATGATTTCTACTCTTTATGAATTACACAGCATGAAAGCTGCACAAAGCAGACCAAACTCGTAATCTACTTATAACAAACAGCTGGCTGTTATACCAGGAGTAAGAACCCAGCTAGCAGAGTTTCTAGAAGGAAGGTGTGAATTATGTAAACATTCTAATATACAAGGTGCAAGGTGTCAAGCCTTGCCCCACCCATACGGGGCTGTGGTAAGCACCAGCATTCTTGAAAACTGTTGCTATTCAAATATCTGGTAAGCACCAGCATTCTTGATACACTGTTGCTATTCAAATATCTACTGGCTCAGGCAGATGCATCCGAATTCTGCCAGTGAGACTTAGTCACTATTTTTCTGTGCTCGCAACCTAATGAGACTTCCTTTTCTCAGCTACAGGCATTCGAAAACACTATTAAATATTTGCCTCAGTGAAGGGGCACGATAATTGACATAGTTCAGACCCAGTTAACCCTTTACACTCCCCGATTCATTCCTAGGCACATTTATTTAATCACTTACGCTAGAGTCTGAAAAAAAAATCATACCTGGCGTCTTTTCAAATAGTCCAGTGCAATCTGTACATTCTGTAGCCTGTGAAAGCGCATCCGACCCTTCTCTCGGGGCTAAGGGTAGAAAATTGAAGGTGTGAAAATACTACAGTTTGTAACACCTCTGACCATGCTAATTTAAAGATATTTTCTGCTCATCTTAGTACTTTTAAACTATTTGTTAGGTAGGCACAACAATTTTTTTTAAAGACGTTTTTAACTCTTCTATTATCTAGGACTGAATTTCAAGAATGAGGGCCCTTTTCTAAATATATTTTTAACATATACTTTATTCCAGATGCTTCGTTTAAACACAAGGAAAGCCATAGAGCACAAAGACTTTTAGTGTTCCTAACAGAACAATCCTGGCCCAACTGGTGCTTAGCTATGAATCCACAAAGATAATCATAATTCTCTATTTTACTTCTTACTACACACTATCAGCAAGACAGGTTTCCTAACTGCATTTATGGATTTATGAAAATGAGGTAAAACAACATGCAATTAGTACATTACAAAACACACTAGGGAGAAAGACAGAGGTTTATTTAGCAGTGACAGAGGAGAGGAAAAAGCAACTCACACTAGGCAATACGTTTCCTCTGTGTTTTATTGCATCCAGCCTTTGCATGAAGCTGGATGTAACACGAGGCAGAAAGGACTGTGTGTACTTTCGTGTGACACTGGATGTGACTGTTTTCCTAGTCTCGGGAAAAGTGTCAAATCGCAGTCATTTTCTCTGCTGCCATTTTCCACATTAGCAGAAAGGAAAAAGAATCAGGGCTGAAATTTTCCCCACGAAACAGTCTAAGAGCAAAAAAAGTCAAAAGAAACTGACTCTCTCCCTCTTAACCTGCTGCTGATATCCAAGGTGGAAAGATAAAAAGACAGCAGACCAATAAAGAGAAAAGGAAGTTTGGCATCAGGGTAGAGCTGGTGCTGAGAATTCACCAGTTGGATCTATAAAAGCACAATTCCCAAGGGAATCAGGGTGGTGGAATGAAGATGGCCAGAGAAGCTCATCTTTCTCTGCAAAGGCAACTGATTGGTGCCAGCTAAGTGTTAGAGACCGACCTGTGGGTTCTATAGGATACAAGGCAAAGTCTTGCCCCCTTCTGCGCCCCACAGATAAAGAACAGCTTATGCCAATGATTTAAAGGAAACTGTGAGCACCCATGCCTCCCTCCCCCAAAAAAGAACAATTAAGCTGTCATGTTCGAAATGTCAATTCCAGAAGGGAACGAATGCACATAAAAATTAGCATACGTTTATACGGAGCATAAAAAAGTCTCAAGTTGCAGGGCACAGTAATGTACAAATATGTCGGTCATTTCGGCTCTGAAGGTAAATTTAAAGAGAAAACATTTCCTCCGTCCGGCCTGTGAATGTGCTTGTGGCTCACCCTGCCTGGGGTTGGGTCACTGTCTTTTCACTAGAGCCCGTGAGTTACTGGCCTGACGGGTTAGCACTGCACACGCCTGCGCACGCCTGTGCACGCCTGCTAGGTTAGTGAGTTACGGGGGTGACACCTACCCCCTTGTCCTCATCCTCCACCTCCTCATGCTCCTCACACTCGCATGCTGCTGTTGCACTCACCAACCGTAAGGTCTTCAAAAAGTCTCGCTCCCTCGGCTAATGAATATAACAGACAGAAGACAGGACAGCAAGGAAACAGACAGACAGACAGACAGACAGACAGACAGACCGGGAATGAAAACAAGAGCATGAGCGGAACGCAGTGAGGGAGAAGAGGTCACCGAGCAAGGGAGCGATGGGCACACGGAGGGAGGCGATGCCTGGCTTAGCCCAGCTCTGAGAGGGTACTTACTAGTACCCTTGGTATGCGTGAGTCTTTCTGTGTGTGGTTATACAGCACATCTAACTGATTTTAAGTCGATACGAAACAACCCAAAGGTTTAAAAAAAAAAAAAAGAAGCAGAAAGAAAAATAGGATGTTAATTATTGAGTCTATCAGGAAAGCAGGTATCTTCAGGTCCCCGTTCATGTCACATGAAGATGGATGTGGAAACAACTGAACAGAACCAACTCTTCTGGCTGAACTCATAGTTGGAAAAGCAAATGCTGCAAAAACCTAACATCTGTGCTGCAGATGCCCTGGCTACATGTGTACGGAATTATATGCTCAGCAAAATAAATTAGGAAACCTCAAACTTACCAAGGTATCTCCGGACAGAACCTCCAGGAGGGAGATCAAATTGTGCCCATCCCTCAGATCCTCGTAGAGATCGTTCACGTGCTTCCGAACCTAAGGCGAGAAAAGCGGCCATCTTTAGTCCTGCAGCTCAGAATGCACCAGGCAGGGTTATTAACAGATATGTGCGTCACGAGGGGTGTTTACCTATGCACCTACTTTTCAGTTTTATCCTCTCATTTCTTGAAAACAGTTGTAAATTTAAAACAAAAAAAATTATTTTGGGGGTGACAATTCATAAAAACGACAAGAATTACTAACTTTATAATATCTTGAACTGAATATTATCCCAGTCTGCAATATGATAGGCCTATAATTTTTAAATAGAAGGAATATCCTGAGTTTATTTCTTATCCCTGACACAACCAGGACTACCTTAACAATGAGTTGTATTTTTACCACAGAATCTAACACATAATAGATCGAGACGCACTTCGTAAAAATCTGTCAATGAAAGCAGGGATAACAGGACCTGGAATTCTATATACTATTTCTACAACTTCCTGTGAGCTCTAACCACTGTAAATAATTTTTAAAATTAAAGTATAGGTTAGGAGACTTCTATCCAAATCTTCTTCACAACTTTAATTTTGCGGGGAAGAATCTTAATAACACTAATGTCAAACTGGCATTCAGCCTGTAACAGCATCCTGTGTTCCCTCACCTGACCAGAGCCTGTGGTGTTAGAACTAGAGGTAATAAAGGCTCTCGGAAGACCCTGCCTAGTCGGTTCCACTGGGACAGTTCAGTAGTAAGTTACCCACTATGAGATCTGTGCTCCACAGACAAACGCCACGGCAGGCCAAGAAGATGGCTGGTCCACAAGAGCAGAGACATTCCCAGATTTTTCATCTTTCTGCAAGCCTGGACTGTACTACTTTGAGATGCTCATAGGAAAGGAACCAAAAAGAAGATGTACTCTACTGGCTCTGACCCCTTTGGGGGCTCAAACGATCCTCTCACAAGGGTCACCTGTCAGATATGTTGCGTATCGGATATTTACGTTATAGTTCATAACAGTAGCAAAACTACAGCTACGAAGTAGCAAGGAAATAATTTCAGGGTTGGGGGTCAGCACAACATGGGGGACTGTATTTAAAGGTCACAGCATTAGGAAGGTTGAGAACCACTGCTCTAGAAGGTTCAAGGACCAGAACTCCACCTCCTACCCAGGACACAATCCCTGCACCTGTCCATCTCTGCAGCAAATTCTCCAAATTCTTACGTATGAATCACATGCCACTGGACTCCTACATGTCAAGTAAACACACAGCATAACGTGATAAAGCGACAGAAACCTGTGGTCAAAACTATACAAGAAAAGCTTAATGACAAACTGAAGCAAACCTTTAGCTTGGTAAGTCTTCACACCCAAAACTGGGGCTTAAATACCATTTACTATATTATCTTAGTTGAGTAGATATGCATATATACATTTATATATGTGCATATGTGCATATGTATGTCCATGGTGTGTGTGAGTGTGTGTGTGTGTGTTCTATAACCTCTCTATTTTGTGTATTATACAAGAATCAAACCCAGGGCCTTATATGCATCGCAAGAAATCTGTCACCAAGCCACATTCCTACCCCATGGTGATTTATTTCATTAGTGTTAAAATATATGCAACTAATGAAGACATTTCCCTAGGAAGTGTCCCACTAAATTTACTTGTTTCTAGGCCCAGCACCTGGGACTTTTTGGCAGTAACAAGGTCTCTGAACACTCGAAAATCCATTTGGCATCACACACACGATACAGACAAAACGTAGGCTGAAGGGTTGCACTTTAAGGAACTGCTGGACATGGTAAGAGGGAATCACTGTAATCCAGTTTTCCATCTTTACAAACTGAAGTTTTAGTTTGACTTCCCAATTCCCACGGAATAGCACTGGAATAGTCATGGATTACACCACAGTAAAAGAAAGTTTTAAAATAGTTTCTCTTTGGTGGGAAAATGGGATTTGAAGATAATTTTAGGTAATAGTCTTTGATAAAATCTGTAATTACCCAAAGCAGTTATGAAAGTGTTACTGCTCTGTTAGTGCATTTACCTTAAGACATCTTTGATTGACAATCCCGTCAGGATCTTAACTATAATTCAGAGGTGAACCACTTTTCAAGGGCCTTTTCAGGAACATACATACAATAGATACAACACACACATGATGTGCACACATTACCATATATGACACACACAAACACACATAGATCGAGGACACTTTGGGGAGCATACAGGACGCACACAGGCATGTATGTGTGTCCTAATAAAACAAAAGCACTACTGTAATTCTCTGCTTGCATACTAGAACCCCATAAAGATTCTCAGTCTCCTTCTAAGGCACAGACCTGAATCTGTAAGGCCCCTGTGTCTGCAGTGTCACCAGGAAGCAGCCTTACACTAAGGGAGCCTGAGCAGGGCCACCCAGTAAAACAATGTAACCATGTAACGGTGATGCTCAGCCAGTAGACTCTTATCTCAAAATAAATGAGTTTGTTGTGTTTATCTGACATCCTTGCCCACAGGACAGTGGTAAACAGGCATGTGCTCAGGGTGGGGCCTCCAGCTGGATGCTGCCAGACAGAGAGTCCTCCCACATCCCACATTCCACTTCCTGTCATCCTCCCTCCAGGACAGTTTTAACTGGGGTGTGATTCTGAACACTTATCTCATAGAAAGGCAATTTCACAACTTGCTGTGCTAGTAGATTGCACCGAGCTCCCCTCACCAGAAAACTTCTCAGAATCAAATGTCACTTCTTACCATTATATTTATGCTACAATAAAAAAAAAAAAAGTTGAGCATGTTTCAAAAGGAAAATATTGTATCACATAAAACCAAATTGGGAAAAGAAGAAACTAATTAATAAGAAAGACAAGAATTTGGAACCTGTATTTATTTTAATTCTGCTTCTCACTCTGACCCCATGACTTTGAACCCCTAGCTAAAGCTATGCAGGCCTTAGTTGTTTTCTTGGCAATATGGAAATGCAGAAAGGGAAGCCTGGAGTTCCGAGTAGAGAACAAACACTCTATGGTCTCAAGACAGGATTACTGTTTTATTAAATTAATGAATTGCTAATTTAAAGGAAAATATACGAAACAGAAGTTACTTTCAAGCCTGGGAACATAATTTTCTAAAAAAATTTAGGAGAAGGAAAATAAAATCAGAGTAAACTTTGTAACACTGCCAACAGTGGCAGCTACATGTTTCTTCCTACTGTTCTTGTCTGATGGTCCAAAGAAATAGAGTCTAAGCCATGCCCCTTGACTCTGAGGCAGTGGATGAAGCTCAGTGCAGAGCCTCGGATGTGTGAGTCCTGGGTTAGAGCCTTGGCACACAGAACAGAGGCAGCCTTACCCCTGTGCTTCCCCATCTAAGAAAGGCACATGTCATTGTTATTATCAAAATGGTAGCAGGAGAGAATGGATTACTGGAAGCTCTCCTCTGGATTCACAGGTACACTGTCACACAAACATGCATGTACACACAGACACACAGAAATACACACACACACTGCCTTTCAAAATGCTTCAAATCGGCCTGGCAGTGGTGGCATATGCCTTTAATCCCAGCACTCGGGAAGCAGAGGCAGGCAGATTTCTGAGCTTGAGAGTTCGAGGCTACAAAGTGAGTTCCAGGACAGCCAGGGCTACACAGAGAAACCCTGTCTCGAAAAACCAAAACCCAAACAAAACAAAACAAAAAACCAAAATGCTTCAAATCCACACCATGAGGAAGAGATGGTAATAGATGAGATTAGGGATCAGACTCTGGGCTCTGATCAACTGGCCAATTAAGGGAAGCCGGGGAAGTAAATAGTCAAGCCAAGACAGAGGGCTTAACGGTTTTACTTTGCCTCAACTCTGAGTCACAGACACTTGGCCCGCTAACTGCACTTCACAGGCAGTTACTGTAACTGCCAGTACTTCTCCTCCCCCTCTTCCTCTTCTTCCCCTTATCTTCCTCCTCTCCCTCTTCCTCCTCCTCTCCCTCCTCCTCTTCTTCTTCTTTCTGCTTTCCATCTAAAAATTAAGTGCAGTTCCTCTTACTTTTTCCCTGTGAGGCAAAGACCATCTAAATCGACAGGAGTCAGGAAAATGATGAGCAGCATAAAGCATCACGATGCCCTGGGGTTAAGTCACGCACAGAAGAGTGAGACAGCCTTTCCTCTGTGTCACACAATCTTCCCAGAATTCTCTGGTGCTTGGGTTTATTGTCTGTCTGTCTCTTTCTCTCTGTTGTTGTGGTTTTGAGACAGCGTTTCACTAGGTAGTCCTGGGTGTCCCTGGAACTCACTATGTAGACTGGGCTATCCTGAACTCACAGAGATCGGCCTGCTTCTGCCTCCTGAGTGCTGGGATTAAAGGCGTGTGATACTAGACCCCCTCTGGCTTCCAGTGCTTTGGAAAATATGTGTACTGCTTGGCACCTATCACATAGTCACAGGGAGCGCTGATCTTGTTCTCAGGAGAGAAATATTTCCTACAGAAGGAAATAAGTGGACAGGAAAACAGGAAATGGGAAGAAAAAACTAACTAAGGCACTCAAGGTGACCCAGGAATGAACAGGGGTAAATATGCCAAACCTGTGCTACCCTCAGGGATTAACTGATTAAAAAAAAAAAAAAAGCCAGCTCCCATTGTTAAATTTACCTGAACTAAAACTCAAATCCAACTGTGGCGAGAAGGATCTTCACATACCTGCTTATTCAGATTTCAAAACTATTTTTCTCAGAAATTTGACATCACATTATTTCTTATTAATCTAGAAAAGCTCCGAAAGAATTTTGAATCTCATACATGTCAACTCTTTTGTGGCTGGGAAAAATACCCAAGAGAAGTGGTTTGAAGGAGCTAAGAGTTACTGTTACGTATGGTCTCAGAGGCTGCAGTCTGTCGCAGCACAGAGGGTGTGGCACAGCTGAGTGGTTCACATCATGGAAGCCAGGAAGCAGAGGGAGAACACCTAATCCAAGGAGGGGAGCCATGGATGGGCTGCAGCTTATTGGAATGGGTTGCCCACAGTCAGATCAGGTCTTTCCTTTTTGTGT